AAAACTTGGTTGTCCTGCAGGTTGAATCCGAGAACCTGCAACAACCCATCAACTTTCCGAGACAGAGCTTCTACTGAGGTCCAATGTTTTTGTCCAATGGTAGTCAGCTGGTCAAAGGCCTTGTCGGTCGTCGTCTTGTCCAAGAAGCGTTCCTTAATCTTACCAAGGAACTGCTTCAAGTCCAAGGTGCCCACTCCCCAATATCATCAAACCCCGCTGCATTGGCTTCGGCCAAAACCAATTCCTTTGCTTCCCCCACAAGACAAGAAGTAGAGAAAGCAACTTGGGACTCGGGTTCAACAGAGGCCGTACCACAATACGTCTGTATCTCGACAATCCACAACGACTTTCATCCTTCTTATTGCTAAATGTGAAAGGCAATTTCATCTTTACCTTCTCTTTCTTCTTCGGCTTCTCAGGTTGTGTGGTGGTGTCCTTTTTCCCGTCTGGAGACTTCGGCGGACTCGAAGGTTCCCCTCTTTTCTTCCGGTTTCTTTTCTTCCGGCTTCTGAGTCTCTCTATTAAGAGACTTGATAGCATCGCCTATTAATTTCTTTGTTTTTTCTTCTTTTTCTGTTTTGACTTCCTCAACCACCTGGTGCTTTTCTTTGACCAGATTTGTGATTGTCCGTAGTCCCGCGGCCACATCATCAATCTGTACCTGCATCTGTTCACCATACTGATCAATTTTCATTTCAAGATGAGCTAAGTCAGTCACAAGTTGAGCCAAAGAAATTTCCTGATCTTCCCCTTCAGTCTTGATAACAGTTTGTCTGATTTCTTGGATTTTCTATTTCTGCTGTTCACTCTTCTTTTTCTTCAATTCTTCTTTCTTTTTCTTCTCCTTCTCAAGTGCTTCTTCTAACTGTCTGATATTTTCATCCACAGGTTCTTCAGACATAATTATTTCTTTCTCCTTTTTCCGATCTGCAATCTTTCCGAGCTGCTCAATGATATACTTAATCAAGTTTCTGACGACACTTGATTAGTACATCCTGAATCTGTATGACGTCGGTGTCTTTTTTAGCCTGTTCGATAGCAGCATGTGCTGCCTTCAAATCGAACTTGTTTCGCACGTATGCCTCGGCTTCAGCACCTGCATCATGGAGATCAGAAATCAATTGATCCAGGCGGACAAGCAAAGCCTTTTCAGGTCGTCCACTTGCTGCCTAGTTCGGGGATCGGGGGTCTCCTCATCAATGTCGAAAATGAGTGAGACTGGATAGAAGAGAAAAGGAATAAATCGAGTGAGCACTGACAATTTCAAACAATTCCAGAAGAGAGACATCGTGAGGTGCGTTTGCCGCGCAATAAATAATCAAACAACAATAATAAATTCCACGGGCGCCCTATTTTACAACAGCAAGAATTTCAAACAATCGAAGAAGAAAATAAATACAATTTATTTCTATTCTAAATATTGTTGTTCTTTGTCGTCTGTGTGATGACGTTCCAATCAAGAGTGCACAGGTACCACCTCAGACCCGTGTGATCATATACAACACACAAGTAAGTACGCACTGCACCACAACACAGCAAACGACAGGGTAAGTATGCCAACATCAATCAACAAACAATTTGTCAGCAATCTTCTTCTTCTTTTCTCTGCGTCGTTCCTAGTGCTAATGTGATACCGCATCCCTCTTGACAGCTGACACTACAGCTGTCCAGTCAGCCGTTCAATCAGCCGTACCACCTTCGTCTTCAAGGTGCGACTCTTACTTGGCAGCCACTTGCCTGCCACGTGTCATCCCTTGCGTGCCAACGTAGCAGATCTGCCACGTCAGCACATCAGTGTCTAATCAATCAATGGTGGGATGCCACGTCAGCAAATGTGTGCTCTGGTCCTTCCCACTTGCCACTTCCTCGCGTCTTGGTGTGATACCATCGCTGCTCCAGCCAATCAAGTCAATGCCACGTTAGCCAATGGAGCCAATGCCACGTCAGCAGGCTCGCCATGTCAGAAGACAATCGTGTACGACACCTGCCTGCCACGTTAGCAATCAACCTTGATGTCCAAAGGCCACGTCAGCATCTGTACCAAACTTGGTCGTACCTCAGCTGCTAATGCAGCATGAGAATGCCACGTCAACAATCTCCAGCAACCAAATCTCGAGACGTGGCGCATAATATGCCACGTCAGCGTGAGATCGCAATGCCTCCTTACTATCGCGATCCTGGCTGGCGCGTGGTCACTCTTCATCGCGATCCCGACTGCCACGTCAACAATCCCGTCGGGATCTGGTCTTCTCGCCAGCGAAGTCCATGCCACGTGAGCAACACCGGCGGTCTTCGTCGTTGTCCACGTCAGATCTCGTTGTCATCACATCATACACGCGCGTGTTACTTACCTGGCACCACACGGCGCATGCGCGTCGTCGTCAGGAGTATGCTCCGATACCAAATTGCAATGAACCCAGATCGTGAAGACACTTGTCAACAATGCAAGCCCAGATGAATGTAAACCTGCTGATGATTATCAATAATCATGATCATGTCCAGATAGAATGAGATGAGAGAATCATACACAGACGAAGGCGAGAGAGGAGGGAGATTAGACTTAGAAGAATAAGACAATTGCCCACTTCTGCTTCGGGCGTCCTCCTCGATCACCGCCTCAAATAATCAATAGTCTGAACACCTATCTGAAGTTCCATTACAATGTGCCAGGTGGCACGTCAATTAGTCCTCATCAGCGCACTGGAGCAATGTCGACTACAAGATAACCAGGTATGTGTCCACGATTACCCCACAGTCATGATCTCCTCCTGAGTGACGATGAATCAGAACAGCAATCCCAGTCACGTAGCTCAGCCACATCAGCAAATGTACATGTGGCAGCGGCCACGTCAGCGGCGACGCGTGGCAGCTGCCATGTCAGCATGCCCAGAAGACAATAGCAAGCCAGCCACCATGCCGAGCCAGCATCGCGTCGGCGTAATCACCCAAGTGCCAGCGCAAAGCCAGCGTCCAACCAGCGTCGCAGCGTCGTAGTCAACGCGTGAAGTCAGCATTGATGCAAGACCGAATGAATGTCAAAATCAGGAAGTCAGCGCTTATGTAGCATTGACGCGGGGTCTGGACCCCGGATGCTGCATCCCTCAGCCGTCAAGATCTTAGTGCAAATGACGGCCCAGATTGGCCTGAAACCAAATTCCCTCTGGCCTTGATGCTGTCTGGGTACCTGCGCACAACAAGTGAGTGTATCCGACCAAGGGCCTGGGCGCGGTACCTTTGACCTGACAGTTGACTTAGACTTTTGACTTTCCTAAGGCAGTGCGTGGTCTCACTGCCTGGTGCAGGCCGAGTTTGGCCTGCATCGTCTGGGCTCCGTTTCAAGAGCCCAGACTGCTGCAGAACACGGGTTACTGCACTACATTACATTTATGACTATTTTTTTTCCCATTTCATTACAAATATTGCTCCACTGATTGGGGCTGCGGCAATGCGTGCTGGGAGGAGCAATAATAGCTTGGCGTCCAATACATTGGCCACTCATCATTGCTCCCACCTCCATCCCCGGTCCCTAGCCCCCCCCCAGCTTGTCTTAACCCCCTACATCGATGCCAGCGACAACCTTGAGAGACACAAGAGCTGGCTGGCCAAACTCCACTCGAAGTTCGATGATTAGATGTAGTAGGAAGGAGGCCAGGGGGGATGGATGGAGAAGGAAGAGGGAGGGAAGAAGACCGAGGGGGGGGAGGTAAGGGGCAGGGAAGGGGAACAGGGGCGGAAGACGGAACAAAAGCAAAAACGGGGAGGGGGTTGAGGGGTAGGAGGAGCCAGGGAAGAGAAGATAGGAAAAGAACGAGGAAGAGTAAAAACTTGAAAATCATTCTTGTGTAGCTTAAACGGGTTGTAACACGCAAGGACGAAAAAAAAAAAAAAAAAAAAAAAAAAAAAAAAAAAAAAAAAAAAAAAAAAACGATTCGGCAAAAGCTTGAGAGAAAAGAAGGCAAAAGAATTTCCAAAGGAATTTGGAGCACTTCTTTTCTAATTCCGAGATTCATTCCCCCACAACTATATTCCTCCAGCTGGTGATCATGGACACTGGGCCCAATTCAAGGGGGGGTTGGGGGGGGGGAGGGGGAAATGTAGAACATCGAAAAAGAACACGCACAACTCAATACACGCCGCCCCTCACTTCCTCTTTCTAAAAATAAAACACTCTGTTTTAGAGCCAACTGGCTGCTTCCCAGTCCAAGTACTGGGAAAAACACTACAACTTGAAACAAAAGGTTCAAGGGGAAGCGGAAAAGAGGCGTGCCGTCCTTCGGGACATCAATTAAAATTGGAGCGATACAGAGAAAGAAGAAGATTAGCATGGCCCCTGTGCAAGGGTGACACGCATAAGAA